ACAGTCTATGAGCGAAACACATACTATACAAATGCATAAATACCTAGTAATAGCCCCTCTTGTTCTGGGTCTGACGGTGTACCTGGACAGCCATGCATAGCTCAGCTGAAATATGTACCGAGGAGGAGGAGGAGGAGGGAAGGTGAAGCTGGGGAGGTGGACAGCAGGAGGTGTACACCAGGCCTCATTAGCCAGAATCTCACTGGGGACGACGAGAAGCTCTGCTTTCCATCTCAACATGCCGCATTACCACAATTAGGATACAGGCCCCCAAAAATCTCACCCTTTATAACTGTCTAATTTTCATGTAATCCTCCGCTGGCTGGAGACAGCCTCGTGAAGTGTGATGGGGGAACGCTCTTTTTTCTTTTTTCTCCACCACACACAGACTTTGCTACAGTTCTGACACAAATCCCCTCGCGGGCGCAGCTGGCGTCGTGGCGTTCCAGCTGACAAATGACTTCGTAGAGTCTGCAAAACGGGGGAAGTACTGTAAAGGTGCAGGTGGAATCAGAGAAGTGACCGGTTGAGTAAGACGTTTTAGCACTGCAGTCAAACTTACTTTTATCTCGCTTTCCAGTCTCAGACCGTTACCTTGCTGCAGCTCAAACTCGCTGGTAGACTCAGTTCCATCCATCCATTATCTGTACACCGCTTAGTCCTCACTGGGGTCGTAGGGGGGCTGGAGTCTATCCCAGGAGACACATGCAAACTCCATGCAGAAAGATCCCGGTGCCCTCGACCTCGAACAGTGCTAACCACTGATCCACCTTGCAGCCCGTAGACTCAATTACAAAGCCAAAATGCTGCGACATATTTGATTAAATGTGAGTTAAAACTAGTTTTATATGCTCCAAGCTCCACAAATTGACATCACATTCACTCCTTTGTCACAGAAGGACAACCTGAAACTGAAACAGTTTGAATGTTTCGGAGCAGAGACTGCTCCTCTTCTCATATTTATTCGTGTATTATGGAGCTTCTCGTGATTTCCAAGCGACTTCTGCATTCAGTAAGCGAGATGAGACGTTGTCACTATCGTGCAAATCAGATCCCACTCGCTTTCCCAGCAGCTTTGTTTGAGAGTGTTTCTAGCTAACCAGATGCTAACTGACATTATTTTAGAGAATCTGTCAGATTATTTTGCTCTGTTTTGGAGGCACTCGACTCTACCAGAGGGTGCGTTGCATAACCCGCAAAAGTGTCTGCGCTGAATCATTTTCATCACAACAGTCCACTTGTTACGAAACCCAACTTAGTTTATTTTACATTTTTTTTTGCACAGGGTGATGCACGCCAGCGTAGCGCTTAATCGGGAGGTTTGGATAATAAAGCTTTCATTAAATCGGAGAAGAAGTGACGTCACACTTGCAGCTCATTTCCTCGACAAATGAAGGAGGGGAGCTGGAACAATGCACAGGCGGCTGTATGATTAACCGTCGAGTACATCCCACTGATTGATTCGCATATTCCAGCTCCGGCTGCACGACGGTGCTCTTAAGAGCTCCGCTGGCTTTTAAATGTGCCACATGACGGTCCAAGTATGTCTGAGGATATCCGTTGTTAAATTGGAATAAAATGGGACCAGAAGGGGGTAATGAGAAACTCTGAGTTAATGAGAAGACGTGCTAATGTGTCAACGCTTGACTTAGGGAGAATCAAATCAGATCTGAAGGCCATAGGGGAAATTTCCCAAGAAGGGGGGGAGAAAAAAAAATGGCCATTCATTCCCAAACTGCATGTGTCATTTTCTGTTTTTTTTCCTTCTTCTTCTTCCTCGAGGATGACCTACTTATGAGCCCCGAACCGGCTCCGTATGACTAAGAACTATCCACACATACATTATCCTTAAATACGCGCACCTATGCATGTTCAATTACACGTTTGATGTGTCTCATTATAGCCTCAGTTGTTATGCGCCTCTTTTTTCATATACTGCGGACACAACAAGGAAGTGTATCAACAGTGGAATTTGTAAGGAGGACAGACTGAGTTCCTCTCATGTCAGTGCTGCTGCTCTTCAACATCACAACAGAACACACTTGAAATTCTAGACATGGTGCAGCGCCCTTTGATATGTAAATGTGCACCTTCATTGCACTGGCAGTGATACTGAATGAAGGAACTTTTTTTTTTTCTTTCTTTTTCTTTTTTTTTTCCTCCCCTCCTTTGCCAATTGAACCTGTTATGTTCCAAGGGAATTTGTTAATTTAGAACAGGGGACTAATCAAGTCATCACAGCCTCACAGGTACAGTATTATACTTCACACACCTCTGAAAAAAAGTCCCGACATCGTCAGATTGTACAAACGCAGAACAGCGGCTGTTGACGGTTTATGCTGAGATATTATAAGGGCAAGTCCCAAAAAAAAAAACACCTAAAATCTTCTTTATTCTTGGCACTTGTGTCTATTTCTGGTCCCCATCTACTCTCACAGCTTTTCTCTCTTTACAGTGTAAAGCGTTGGTTGCAGCTGTTTTTTTTTTTGCAGCTCGGTGGTTATTTTAGGGACGGGTGAAGCAGGATGATATGCATATTTAATAGGTTCTCAGTTTGTTTTTTGTGTTCGGTTCAGTATTACAATCGCAGAGTTCAATCTCCAGCTCATTCGCTAATATGGGAAGTTGTTCGTGGTTCAATCTAGACACGAGCAGGAGGATATTTTTTTTTTACTGTGCATCACCTAAATAGGTAAAAAAAAAGAAGGAAAATCCTGCAGTGTTGTTTAATCTGTGATATGCAGAGCGGCTTTAAATCCATTTAACCGCAGTATTATATATTTACAATGCCACTTATGAATCATTAACACCCCCTCCCCGTGATTTATCCTCCGAGAGCGAATCAAAGCTAAGCCAAAGTAGAATATCAAACATTTCTAATTTCGGCTGCGTGAGCCAATATTTCTCCACGCGGCAACATTACGCAATGTTTAATTCCTGCGAGACCGGAACTTTCTGATCCCACATGACGGCACCCATCACCGAGAGAGAGAATAAAAAAAAGAAGGTTTTGCCTGTTAGTTTGCAGAAAACCCTAATAAGCACTTTATTTCTGGGACGCAAAGCCGTTTTTAAAGATCCCCAGATAAGTAATTATGACTCAGTCTGGGCTCATATCTCTGTTTTGAATGAGCGACTTCTTCTTTATAAGGTCACCGAGTGACAGTTCAGCGAAATCCCGCCATGCAGAAGAATACTAAAGACCTCCAGCGACTATTGTGCCGTCGGCAGACAACTGACCACGGAGCACAAAGAGCTTATCATCAGTAGAGAAAAGCTTACATGCCCCAGAGAGCCATTTCATGTCCTCTCAATACCGGGGGGTCCTAACACTGTGGAGAAGAGATGCTCACTTTATTGTGCTGCCATCAGTCACATCGGTTTGTGTCCTTGGCTGCCTCGGAGCATCTCCATCCCTCCCACCCCCAGCGCTCGCAACAGTGGAGTGCCATCTGAGAGCCTCGCCAGCAGCTCTGTCCACACTGCAGTCGAGTCGAGTGACTGTGAAAGACTCGCACTGCCACTCTTAATAGGACAGGGTTAGCCATGGGATGAGCCCCGAGACACTGGTTTAATCTATTACACCCACGCCTCCCCAGGCCACCGGAGAGAAGGCACTTCATCGACTCCTAGCGCCAACCTCGGCCGCCTCTTTGTCACTCTCTCTTGCTCTCTCTCTCTCTCGCCTCGTTTTTTTTTTTTTTTCTCTGCACCGACTCCCCTCACAAACAGAACATGCAGACGTACACAAAGATCCGCCCGCTCGCTGCTCGCCGCCGCCGCCGCCACCCCGCTCGGTTGCTCGGCGATGTGTTATTCACCTGAAATCTCCCGCTGCTCCGAGGTATCGCTTCCTCCTTCCCTTTCCTTCTTTTGACTCCTCTCTTGCCGGGGCCCTAAAATAACTCATTTCACCTCCCACTGGAACATTCAGTACTATAATCAATAGATTAGTTTCAACTCCTGTCTTCGAGCAGCTGGTTTCAAACCACCGGTGGGCTCTTAGAGATAAATGCCTCTTTTTTTTCTTTTCTTTTTTTTTCACCTCAGTTTTCGGCCATAGGATACCGCAATTACCCCACAACGATGTACGGACTATATATATATATGCTTCTAAGGGTTATACAAGATAAGGACGTGTTGTTACTTCACAGTGCATCACTGAGTCCTTATTAGACCACCGTGTTCCTTAGTAGTCGGCCAGCATTCCTCACTCTTTCCTGGCCTTCAGTCAAGTTAGCAGTGTGTTCATTACTTTGGCCATTGCTTCTTCTTCTTCTTCTTTCTTCTTCTTTTTTTTTTTTTTTTTACAGCCTGGTAGTATCTCCGCAAGATTGAAAGGCAGTGAGAGCATTCATTCTCTGAAGTGATTACTGTTCAAACAGCCCAGTAATGACACGTCTGATAGAGAAATTAGACCGCAGTCACTTTATGGCTTTAGTAAAAAATTAAGTCCCTAATTGACGACGGGAAGGATGAAGAAGGATTCTCGTCTCGACGCTGTCAGCTGACGTCGGAGGGAGACTAAATATGGACATTTAAGAGCTATACGTGTTATGTCGGGTTTTATATGGGCTTTGATTGCGGGGAAATGTCACCTTGTGCAAGCTGGATGAGTCACTGGCACCATATTAGCGTTACCGGGTTAGCATGAAATCTAATGCATCTGGTCTGGGCTTGATCTGAACCCTTCAAACTGATCTTCTTCCATTTGTGCGGAAATTTTCCCGACTGTTTGCGTCCCATTTGAGTCCATTTGTTGGCGATTCCCTGCTTAACAATCTGAATTATTCTACAGCGAGCGGCAAACGGGGCGGCTGTGGTTCAGGTGGTAGAGCGGGTTGTCCACTAATGGATCCCCGGTCCCCCCCACATGCCGAAGTGTCCTTGGGCAAAACGCTGAACCCCAAGTTGTTCCCAATGGCAGATCATCTGTCGCCATTGGTGTGTGAATGTGGGTGTGAATGTAAAGCGCCTTGGGTACCACTAAGGTAGAAAAAGGCGCTACATAAGTGCAGACCATTTACCAAACGGAGGGATCCCTTATGAGCGTAATTATTGTCTTTTTGCATCTATAAATGGGACAAATCGTGCCACACTTGTTTTGTTCACACGTGGGAATTCTCAAACTCCCATTCAGAATTTGTAAAATAATCACACGGCCCACGCAGAGATCCTCCAGCGAAAGGACCGACGCCCCGACTCGCGGGTTTTTAAACAAAAGTGATCTGGATCTGCTCCACATCTCCGCCACGGATTCAACTCTGTAGTTTTCTTTTGTTTTTTTGGCGTAATCTTGCTGACAAACAGACAGACGGTCGGGCAGACAGACAAACAAATGGCGCTGATCGCATACCTCCGCCAAGGCGGAGAGCCGAGGCAGGGGGAAAAAGACAAACAGTAATTAGAGTGAACTAAATAGGGAGCGATTTCAGACACAGCCCCACTTTTCTCCGAGAAGATGTTTGTTCTTTTCGGTGGTAGCGGTCTGGTAACAACACCTCAACGATCCCAAATGACAGCTCCAAGAAGTGGTGCTCAAACTACCACACGGCACGGCTTTCGTTTACCCGTCCACCACCCTCGTGTTTGGCAGAGCTCCAGCGTAAAAGCGTTGACCCGGTGGTTGTCAGTCCTGCAGTTAATGAACCTTCTTTACTTTCAGAGCAAACCAGCATCACATCAACTATAGAAAACCATAGCAACACATCGACAACCAGCCGTTAGCAACAAAAACACCTTCCGAGCAACCGCCGAGGAGTCAAGCACGCGCCGTCCCCCGGTTCTGTCTTCCACCAGCGTTTTTAAAGCCACATTCAATATTTTCCTCGCTAAAAACCTGGCGGTGGAGGTGAGCGCGCGGCAAATTGCAGCTCTCAAGTCACCTGCACTTCTCTACAGTGTTTTTTTCCTGAACCTCCCTGACACTCCGGGGCGATGGATTTGGAAGCGGTGCCAGAGGTCTGCAGCAAAATGCTCTTTATTCAATGCACCGTGGCCGCCGGGGGCATTGGGTTTGTACAGCGAGGAGACAGTCTTGTATTAAAATGGATTTCCTGAATGCGAGCCAGGAAATATTACGCCACACAGGCTGTCATTAAAATAAAATAATAATAATAAAAGAAAAAAGCTCCTTTAGGCCGACAACAGCACATTTCAATTATCTGCCATCTTTTGTTCTCCCAGGAGAGGGTAAATAAACATGCAAATGGACAAACAACATTTAATCTGGACTGGAAACTGTTTTTTTTGCCACCACAACCCCAAGGTTATCACGCTGGATCTCTCAATGTGTGCTCCCCAAATAAATATATACGGTGCTTCGGTGCAGCTGTCTGCTTCCAGCGACGCTCACATTTGTCTGGGAATTCATCGGTGGATTTACCTATTGTCTCCCATAATCTTATGTTTTGCAGATGGGATGTTGCAAAACCCCCTCCATGCCTCTGTGCCTCCTTTTTTTCTTTCTTTTTTCGCTCTGTATCGGCAGACTGGGAAACAGACGATCATCCTTTGAACCCATTACTCAGCCTGATCCTCTTATCATAACCTACCTTCCCGAGTCTCTAATTTGGGGTCTGCCAAACTCTGCTCGGTTGCACAATGTAGCTTTCGTCTCCTGTCCTGCCGTGCTTTTCTGATGCGAGGGAGGCAAAAGGAGAGAGAGAAAGCGACAGAGAGGGAGAAGGGCTTGTCTGCACACATTTGCACACCTGTCTCTGGGGGATATTCCACCAATCTGAAATAAGACAAGTCCGTGGGCGGGTCAGTATTCTGGGAACACAGCGAACAACTCATAAAGGCTTCATCGCCGGGCTACCTTATCCCCCACACCTTTCCAAGACACGGCTCATTCTCTCCCCCCCTTTTCCCTGCTAATATCACAATCCCACATGGGTGGAAGCACATGTTGTTTGGTAAATTACACCGCGGGGTGGGGGGCTCTGGTCAGTTAAAGGCGGCTCAGAATAACCCCCTCCCAGTCGGCAGTGGCTTTGCAGCCTGCCACCGATTGGGAATACGGCACAATGGCTCGTTGTCGTGGCAGCGTATCAAACACAGGAAGTAAAACAATTGGCGAAAGATGCGTCCTCGCCATCATCATCCATCAAGGGTATACATGATGTAAACAAATAACTGTCTTCATTTACATCCGAATTGCTCGCCGTCTCGTTCTGTTATTCCATTACTGTCGATGAGAAGGTCACTATACAGTGATGTATGGTGTGCACGGCTTTTTTTTTGCACATGTCGGTGCAGGCGGCAGACTGAGGGAGCTCTTACACCAAGAAGGGAATCAATTACTCACTCAGCTGCATACTTTTTGTGGTGGTGGGGGGGGGGATCAAAAGGATCACACACCTTTGTGTACTCGTGCGCCGGGGCATGTACTAAAAATGTACCCGTTAACGAACACCTCAGTCTGATGCATCAGAAAAACAAACCCTGCATTTGCATTCCACCCCCCAAAGAAACATTTTAGACACTTACATCAGAAAAATGCCCCGAAAGGCACGAAAACAGATAGAATTTGGCTGCACGGAGGGGCTTTTTTCATTGTTTTGTTTTTTTATTATTACTTTTGCAATCAGATGAAATAGATGTCGTATCCCTGAGTGACAAAAAAACAGAGAAGTTACAACTCCTTCAAAATATTTTGGAGGAGGAGGAGGAGAAGGCAGGATTTAATGAGGAAAACCCTCTTCTTTGATGTTCCAGGAGGTGAATTTACATGTAAAGCTGCAATAATATGGAGGTAGAAGGTGGTTTTTGTGGACACGGCTGGAGATTAGTAATAGTTGATAATGATATTGATGCTTTTATGCTCTGATATGCGACATAAAAGCCAGATTTTCCTCATTTTGTGTATTGTTTTAACAGTAGTAAGTGATTAAAAACATTGAGATTAATGGCGAATATGAATATCAGCTGTTCTAAAGCTACCATCGGGGTGTTGGTGTAGCTTATCTGTTGCCTTGTGAAGGATCTGCATGTGTATTTTTCAACAAAAGTCGTATAAAATCTTTGCAAACTCAAAACAGAATTCACATTTCATTGCAGAAAATCAAAGCACCTCTCTGACATCCACATTTTCCGTGTTGCAGACAATTTTTTATTTTTTTTCTTGTGGCTTTTGCATTATGCAAACTTAGCACTCCTCTGCACTTCTTCCTCTTCTCTCTCTTTTTTTTTTTTTTGCCTCTTGAATCTCAACACCACTGACAACAAATGGCATTTAAACTCACCACGGGGGTCTGCCGCGGCATCCTGCCAAAATGGAAGTTGCAGAACAGAATATGAAGGTATCAATGTGCGAGGGAGGCTTGTGAGCGTAACAATGGCAAGTCGAAAGCTTGTATTTGGGCTTGTGTGTGTGTGCGAGATAGAGGAACTCCATTTGTGTGCGTCTGAGTGTGCGTGACACAGTGTTCGCCTCTTAACCGTTACACGGCACATTCGGAGACGCCGAGCCAAACGTCGGCCGGCTGTCGCGGCGATACCGACGTATTTTAGTACGACGCTGGCAGAAGCGCGGAAGCATTTTCTCCAAATGGCACCGGGAAGGTAACGGTTTGTAAAACAACACGCCGAGTGGTTTTGTTTACCAGGCTGGCCGCCCCGCTCGATGCCATCGGGCAGACCGGAGAAGGCAAACAAGCCCGGATTCCTCTTTACAGACTCAGATGTAGGCGAGGAGTCACTCAGATTGTGATTTCATTTCCCTAACGCCCTTTTCTCGTTGATGCCTCCTATTATATTTAAGTAGTCGCTCCTTTTAAGAGTTAATGGCGCTATACTGGGCCTCTTTACTTTCTGCCCATGCGGCACTCATAAATGCACATTACCCACCCACCGTCCAAAGAGAAATAATAATAAAGATATCACGCTCTCGCTCTCCGCAGCCCAAAGCCCGTGGGTAGGAGATGTGATATTATTTCTATTTAGTGTGTTTGGACATGATGGATCTTCCAGTCTTTATCCGGGCGTCCCCTAAGGAGAGGGTCACCGCGGTGGGGGAATACTTCTAACGAGGAAGAGCTTTTTACTCGATAAACCGAAAGCAACATGAAAGCAAGACTGACGGAGGATTTCACTCGCTCTGTTACTCGACGTCTTCGTTTAAAGTTGATTATTAATGGAATTGTTTAGAGAGCCGCGCTGTGGCGAATGAGATATCCGTCATTTGGTAATTCGCTCTCAAGGTCCCGGGGACAAAAAGATGGGGGTGTTATTTAAGTATGAATGAGCCGAAGAACTTTTGAATTTTTTAATATATAGGCAAACGTAATAATTGATCGCATAATAAGTCTTATTATATCAGAGCCGTTTGGCAGATTAGAGCCCATTGAACTGGCTGGATGGCTCTATTTCTGCCTCTAATTTTAGTCGGTGGACGTAATGTCCTTTTTTTCCTTCACCTCTGGCGGTTGCGGGTCCCCCCCCCGCCACCCCTCTTTTGAAAATGAGATGACAGATCTCAGAGGGTTTATCCTCGGAGTAATAAATTTCTCTAATAACGCTTGTGCCGCCGCTTGCCATTGGCTCCAATACGTGCTGGAAAGTTGGCACCGAACGAGGTGCTTTTTGCTTCGTGGTTCAAAGAAAGTACAACCAAAGAGCGAGACCTCTTGCTGTGGGTCTTCATGCGCTGTATGTATTAATCCGTTCAGAAAAAAAAAAAAAGAACATATGGCATGGTAAATGAGCCCTGACGAGCTGAGTGAATGCTTTCTATAGCCCGGGCGCTCACAGAGAGTTATGTCATCGCTCTGAGCTCTGCTTTAAGGCATGGACGGCAAAGGGCTCAAACAGAGAACAATATCACACAACCGAGAGATCAGGAGCTACCGGCACACTGGTTGTCACGTCTGTGTTTAATTTATTGGAGTATTTTTTATTTAAAATGCAGCAAAAGAAGCAAATGCAGGACGTGGAGATGTTAAAGTGCAACGTTGCTCCACTGAGGTAGAAGGTTTCAGGTGTGAACAGAGCCAACCAAACAGCAGAGTGGTTGGAAGTTAGGGTTGCACATGCTGTCCCTCCTCCTCCTCCTCCTCTTCCTCCTCCTCCTCCTCCTCCTCCTCGTGGCTGATGTAGGCTGTATATTAATATGTATGCACACTTCCAAGATGTTTCCTCTCCGTTGTGTCACCTCTCCCCCCCACTTCCCCGTCACGTGCAATATCTTTTCTATTTTTAAAAAAATGATCCTGAGCAAGAGCGAGCCGGCTGCCGGTTCCTACGGTCGGGTTCTGTTGTTCTGCTGAGCTGTTGTAAACACCGGCGTTGTGAACAGGATTTAGACAGGCCCTGCGACGGGAGTTCAAACGCGGCGTTCAACCAACAACAGTCCTGAGTCACGACTTTGTGCTGCTCCTCACTGAAACACTCCCAACGCGTTCCCGTGCAGAAGGCCACTGCCGCGCACACCGTTTCCTTGAATATAAAGTTATATAAGACAAATAAAAGCGTGGAGGAGATGCTCTGTGTCCTCACCGGGACCAGGCTTCTGTTTCTGCCTTAACCCACATGCAAAACTTCAGTGTTATAAACATTTCGATGGCGCTAATTGCGTCAGTATAACAAGACACTGTGCTTTCCAGTCGGCTGCTCCTGCTCGCTCTGCTCTAAAACAAATCCAGTTTTCATCAAACAATTAATTGCAGTCGTCCCCTATTCCTGTCCGTTGATGTCGATGCTGCCGCAGCAGCAAGACTTCCAGCAGATCTTTTAAATTTCATGCAGGTCTATTAGAAAAACTCAAAAGTTTGTGTCCACATGCACATTTATAATTGCATATGAGGACGACATTCTACTATCTC